CCTCGCGCCCGGCCACGCTGGGAGGCAGGGTTTATTTTGAAATGATATTATATGCAGTCGAGTGTTGAAAATGTTGAGACAGTCCAATTTGTTTTCACTCTGTATTAGTTTTAGTTTCAGGCATAGCCGATCCCCATTCAGGTGCTATCAGATGACCAGTTACTGCTTAGTTAACTAGATGTAAAGTTTTACATATATATTAATGTCAATAGTTTTATTACAAGTTGTGTAAAATGGACTCTCTAGTTTAAAAAAAAGAAAAAAAAAAAAGAAGAAAAAAAATTAGGTCTCTCCTGAAATTGACTTTAGAGCATGGAAAATGATTTTACTGGATTCTGTTCAACTGTAATCAAGGAAAAAATATGTATGTTGTAGAAAAAGTTGCAGAATTAAAAAAGATCTGCTTTTAATTTATTCTTTTTGTATTAAGAATTTGTATAGTTACCTTTACATTTTGCAAAACAGTGTTGTCAACACTTCCTTATTAAAGCATTTTCAAAATGAAACCTTGCAGTGGTCTCTTCAGGAGGGCACGGCGCCTGTGGAACCCACCTCTGCCCGACGCTCGGTCCAGATGTGCGCACAGCTGGCCAGGGGCCCCGGCTGCAGGAAGCGCCGGGCGTGCCCCGAAAAAGCCCATCCTTCAGAGATCCCTTGGGATCCTGCGCCTGCGCTCAGCAGATCCCTGCTCGCTCCATCGCGTGCTCTCTCCAGCACTCGGGGGCCCAGGAGGTGATGGGCGGTAGGAAACCACGTGACTGACAGCTGCCACAGCAGGGAACAAACTCCAGAAAGAATCACAGAATCATTACAGTTGGAAAAGACCTCTAAGATCATCAAGTCCAACCATCCACCCAACACCACTGTGCCTGCTAAACCATGTCCCCAAGTGCCACAGCTACACGTTTTTTGAACACCTCCAGGGATGGGGACTCCACCACCTCCCTGGGCAGCGTGGTCCAATGTCTGACCGCTCTTTCAGGGAAGAAATTTTTCCCAATATCCAATCTAAATCTCTCCTGATGCAACTCGAGGCCATTGCCTCTCGTCCTATTGCTGGTTACCTGGGAGAAGAGACCAACACCTGCCTCACTACAGCCTCCTTTCAGGCAGTTGTAGAGAGGTTGTAGTGAGGTGCAGAGTATTTACTTCTAACGCACGTAACTTGAAATAACTCAGGTATTGACGCTTGCTGACACGACTGGATGCTAAGGAGCTGCAGGGCTGCTTGCAGCAATGCCGGGGTCCGTAGGACACGCTTGCATTCCTGGGAACTGCCTGCTCGTTGGGGTAAATTCCTGAAGAAACCCCATCCTCCTGGTTTAACTTGTCGCCAGCCCCCCAACAGACACTGTCCAAGCTCGGGAGGGGGCAGTGGGACCCCACACGCAGGGCTCGGCGGCTCGGCTCCCCGGCCACGGGCAGGGTGGCCCCACAGCCCCCTAATGATCACTTGAAGCTGGCACAATATAGGCTGCTGCCCGAGGGCCCTTTCAAAAAACCCCT